ATTCATCGTAGAATTCTTGTATCAAGCAAATATTGTCGTCAAGTGTACCAAAAATTAGTAAAATTTTTAATTTCTTTTTGTTTTGTTTTTTTTATATAAAGTTAACCAGCATAGTCTAAATTTTGATGCGTGCTTCAATTCCGCAAAAGAGTTTTGCATCTCTGTAAAGCCAATTGGAAGATTACTTCTAAGAATGTCGATAAAACAGACGGCTTTAGGATCCCCTTAACGTATATAACTTATCTCGACGCGTGTCGTAATTTCTCGAATTAACTTTTCTTCCAATCTAATTTTTCTGAATACGGGAGGGCATTAGACCGTTATTAGGTAATCGTGTACAAATCTACGCGCCAGGCCGGATAACTCGGCATAATTATTCACACGGCAACATCACATAGCGCGAAACTCCATTTAATTATCGCGGAATCAACAGGCAGCGCACGGAACGGAGCGCGGACCATTTTCAATGCTTTCGTCGAGAAAATGAAATCACTTAATTACCTCGACAAAGCGGCGGCTCCGACGCTCGTTTCCCCGCCGACGCGTAGAATTCGCACGCTCGAGAGACGCGGAAGCGGAAGCCGCCGATTCGTCGTGAAACAGGAAGCAAACCGCTGGTTTCTACGTGCCTTTCGTGCCCCTTCCTCCCCCTCCGTCCTACCGCATCCCCGGTAAACTAACTCGCAAACGCCCCGAAAATATAAGCCCGGCGAGCTCGCGGTTGATATAAACGTGAGCTTCCGTCAACGCGTTTTCACCGCTGCTTAAACGAGTCTCGGATGCTAATTGAAATATCGCCAGGCCACGGAAATTCTTGGCAAGTTTCCCCCGAGCGCGTCTCGGCATCTACGGCGAATGAGCGGAAAAGGGGAGTGAGAAAGCGATTGCGTACGTGTGTACTTATATGTGTACGTAGAACGAAGATGAAAGAGAGAACGCAAAGAGGAGGACCTGTTTTAATTACTCGTCGCCCTCCGAGTGCTAGTTATTAAGCCGCTAATTATAATGTACGCGAAAATGAGCCGAGCTATATCCGCGAGACACCATGTGCGAGAGAAAGAAGGTTTACGCGGAGCGTAAAAGGCGCGCGATATGCGGCACACAGAGCGTGCAATTTTATGCAACATCGGAATTTTACAAGTACACTTTGCGCGCGTACGCGTGTACATTCGGGGGAGCGTATGAATAAAGAAGAATTTCATAAAAATAATATCGAGCCGCGCACGTGGACTCGCTTGTAGATGAAACGATTAGACTCTCCCTATAAATTTATGAAATTTTCTGATAAAACTGTCTCGTTAACTATTCTCCCTCCGCCCATGCTTAAAGAAATAACAGGTGCGAGGCGCTAACCGTGTTTAGTGATTGACATCTGAGCATGACACGGCTATTATCATGATGAAGCTCGAACGTACTTGTATTGTTCGCATGGATAACACGCGGAGTGTGTTTCGTAACGTGCGGTAAAGTCCCATCTACTTGGCGTACTGTACGGCAGTTTGCGGCGGTACTAGAACCAGAAGATTTCAAGCGAGTGGTGGAACGGGGGAGGACATTGTGGGCGAGAAATGGTAGCAGTTCCGGGGAGGAAGAGACGACGACGGGGGTGGAGTCGTCGCAAACGTAATTGCGTTGCCAAGAAGTTTTCCCCGGGTGAGAGGTAACCAAGAAAATAATGAATGGCTCGGATGCTCCGCTACTGCTCTCTCGTTCCAGGAGAGAAACGAGTGGAGGAGCGAGCGGGAAGAAAGAGAGAGAGAGAGAGAAATAGCAGAAGTAGAGAAACGAGAAACCGAGTTTTGGCCACGGTGTTCTCGTTGGCCTGGATTTCACACGGGGGAGAGATGAAAATCTCGCCCTGAGAATGAATTTTTCTCTCCCGTGCCAAATTGGACCAACGAAGATTGCTCTACTCCGGAGCCGGAGTCTTTCACGGCGCGAATGGCTTTTTCCTTAAAATAGCACTTGCAGCACGGGCGTCGTTTTGCCCGCTATCGGGATACCGAGGGCGACGCGAAGATTTCGGCGAGAACCACCGGAAAAGCCTGCGATTACGCGCAAATAACCACGTACGAGTCTGTACGATCGTCTCAAAATCCTCGATACTCCTTTCCCTTTCTTTTTTCATATCCGCGTTCTCTGTGACATCACGAGGAGTCGCAACGCGCGCTGAAATGGAAGACGCAGATGCTCCGGCTCAGTAATATCGCGAAAACCGCAAGAAGCTCTCGCAAAGTGCCATCTCTCTCTCCCTCTATACGTATATACGTGCAACCCCGCCGTTGTGCCGGCGCTCACACACACACGCGCGCGCGCGTGGTTACGTGTACATGTGTATCTCGAAAGGAATCAGCCACTCTCCGAGACGCTCTCCCACACATATAAACAACACTATAGCGTACGTCTAAAAGCAGGCAGCAACATTCACGGCATGAAAATGCAAAGCGCCCGAGTGCCGTCGATAAAATTCCTCGCCTGTAAAACGGTGACGTGAACCGAATGCTCTTTCACCACCCCGGCCCGGCCCGGTCCGATACTGCCGATAATCCGATACTCGAAGCTGCCTCGAGAGGAGATGGGCCTCCCGTGAATCCGACTGCGTTCCACTATGCACCGAATGTCGAAGCGCGACCTCTTATCTCTTATCGCGCGCGCGGGGTATCTCTATTCCGCGATGAACTTTATCCCCCCGTGCCGCGCTGGAAAATGTTTAATCGAAGAGTCAGCATCTAGTGTTCTAAGAGGGAAAGAGAGAGAAAGACAAAGGGGGGGGGGAGGGATACAGAGTTTGTGGCAACAAAGCCATGCTCGCCGCCAACCTCTGCCGACTAACCGGAAGCCGTTACTTGCGCTAACGAGTAAACCAACGGCTGCTCGTCGGACTTTGGTGGTATTATGCTGCGCGAGCAAATAAACTGGCGTGTTCGGCTAACTCCCTGGTTTCTGGTAAGCCCCTGCACACCGGCGGCGGTTCTCGCTCGCTCGGCCTGTAAAGCCCGGCTAACGTCCGCGTGATTGCAATACCCCGCGGCTTGCGGAGAATACCGGATGTGGCCGTGTGTACGCGCGCGCATCTGTGTACACACGGCTGGACCACCGTGTGTGCGCGAACGCGGGCGGGTGGATTAGAGGTAGAAGAGGGTGGGAGCGGGACACGGATAAAGCGCCCGTTAAGGTATACGAAGAGCCGAAAACTCATTGTCCGCTGTTGTTTCGAATCGTTGCGTCCTGTTACACTGAAAGTTAGATTAAATCAATTTTCCGTCTCGCGTA